GAGGAAGAAAGTTATAACTCCTTAATAACAGTATTACTAATAAATCTAATCGTTTAATGAAAGACTTTGTAAATCCATTGATATCATGGGTATGAGGTCGAGGAAGAAAGTTATAACTCCTTAATAACAGTATTACTAATAAATCTAATCGTTTAATGAAAGACTTTGTAAATCCATTGATATCATGGGTATGAGGTCGAGGAAGAAAGTTATAACTCCTTAATAACAGTATTACTAATAAATCTAATCGTTTAATGAAAGACTTTGTAAATCCATTGATATCATGGGTATGAGGTCGAGGAAGAAAGTTATAACTCCTTAATAACAGTATTACTAATAAATCTAATCGTTTAATGAAAGACTTTGTAAATCCATTGATATCATGAGTATGAGGTCGTGAGTGTTGTTGAAGAAAGATTGAAAGGAAATATAAAATTTAATATGATCACAAACTTAATTATTAAGTTATCTTAGCTATTTGAGAAGATTGTATAAATTCTGACTCACATAGCCCTAAACCCTAAACCTCCAGTTCCACAATTGATGACCCAATCTTCCGCATTTCTATATCATTATCAACCGGAGTAGCCTGTTTGATCTATTCAAGTACAAAGACACGCAAAAGATTTCAGTTTTGGATTCGTTTAGTTTTCACTAACTTATTCAACGAGTAGTTTAGTGTCCAATACGAAACTACTCGTTCAATAAGATAAATTACTCGTTCAGTAAGTTACTAAGGGGAAAATAAATTACTCAGGGGATGTAACTTCAAACACTCATTACGGTCCTCTATGTAGATTGAGGAGGAAGATGGACTCGGAGTGTGTCTAGTGCCTTCGCAATCCTTTGACTCCAGAATCGATTTGTCCTCGTGAAGTGAAGTCCCGGGAGGAGTATATAAGGCCCACCACTCTGCCCACTCTCTCCAGAGCCCGAAGTCGATTTGTCCTCGTGAAGTCCCGGGAGGAGTATATAACGACCACCACTCTGCCCACTCTCTCCAGAGCCCGAAGCTGCTCGTAGATCTGAATCTGCAATTCAACTTCCTCTCACCATATCAAGTACCTTGGCGTAAATACAGAAGTCGATTCCCGTCTAGTCGCTGGACTGCAGATTTCGGCATTTTTCTCTTCTGTCGAATCTATTGGAGAATATTGGTTACCTTCTGGTACGTTATCGGCCCTGCGCGACTCGGTCAAGGAGGACTTCCAAGACTTAAACATCTTGATGTAAATTTCAGCCTGGGCTGTCATCGCTGATAGTACTCCGCTTGACTCCGGAAAGCCGTTTACACTGAATTCAGCGTGACAGAGCTGTCAGTTGTGAGTCGTGATCTATGCTTAGTCCTGACCCATTAGCATTCCGCACAGCATCAACTCATCCCTGCATTTTTATTATTTTTGATTTTGTATCTCATCCTCCCGTAGCAGTGTCAAGGTTTGGAACTCTTGCTCTTAAGTTTCGAACTTAAGAGTCTTGAATTTCGAATTTGCCGAATTTCGAATTTTTGTTGTGCCGCCGGTGACCTCCGGCGGCACAACGACTCTGGCAAATTCAAAATTTGAACGGAGGTCGAAGAAGGTTGAAATTTTGTACGGCCAGCTTCAGCAGAGGACCAGCGAAGAGAAGCATTTCACGGCGGGGGAGTTCGTTCGCGATGTGGTCATCGGTATGTCAGACGGGCTGACAGTTCCCTTCGCCCTGGCTGCGGGACTCTCTGGAGCGGCCGCCCCTTCTTCGATTGTAGTCACGGCCGGTCTGGCTGAGGTAGCAGCCTCGCATTCCTTTGCTTCATTCCGGACTCGATTTCTCGTCCCAGCCTCCCGCACCCGCCAGCAATCGACGTGGACCTTCGTCCCACTTGAGATGTGAGATCGAGCACAGTGCTCTTCATAAGCAACTCTACTTGTCCTGTAAACTGCCTGAAAGTTTCTGATGACGATGGGCCAGCAGGTGCAAGGTGGTTTAGAATCTAGAAGATCAGAGTTTCGACGGGGCTAAGAGTGGTGGTGGTTGTGACTATTGCCCTCGGTTGGGCAGCCACTGGGCTCCATGCTGAGAGGACAACAGCAAATGCTGCGACCAGAAGGACGGCAGTCTTCGTCATCATCGCTGCAGTTGCGGATACAAGCTAGAAGACTGAGATTCTGTGTGAGCTTAAGATCTAGAAGGTAGCAAGTCTGATTTCTGTGTCTTCTGGAGGAAAGATAATGGATGTCTCTCCTTTATAGTCCCTTCAGAAGTGTTTCTTCCACTGATCCAGTCTGAACCCATGATCTGCATTTCGCGCTTGCCACATTATGCGCCATGTAACACCTGCCACCGAGGTTATCAAATGTCTTCTCTATTGAACTCAATATCGAGCTAATTTTTTTTTGTGTAAATTGAATACGGTCCTGTATATTGTCTAGGTGGTTTGAAGCAACTGATACTTGATCTAACACCGCTGTGAACACGGATATATAGAAGTTTGACACTCCGTTTCTCGTCCAACCTCCCTACGAATGCTGAATTTAATAAGATGAATTTCATTTAGATTGCATTACATTACTATGTTCTCCGATTTACACGTAAAAGGTGTGACTGGTTGGAAGACTCACATATCTAGCGTCTGAGCTATACCTGTATACCAAAGTTTGGACCATATATGTTCTTTTCCAATTATTAGAAAAATGTGCCCTTGTCGGACTAGATTATGAGATTCCCATCTTACAGTAGTCTCATGTGGGTCTTTGAAGTGAACTGGAAATACTCCAGTCTAAGAGTCCGTGATTAGTGTAGAGAGATTATTTCGATAACTTTATCATCAGATCTCTTGACAAAGTACTTTTTATCTGGTTTTACTGCGTTCCGGCCAAGGTCCCTGCTTCTTGTGTGACGTAATTATGTGTCTCCATGTACGACAGAAAGCATGTGAATGCATTATCGGTTTGCAAATTCTGAAAACTCATGCAAAAAATCGGGAATCAGGTGGCAGCGACATTTTAGTCCAGCTCAATTCTTTGAGAGCTGAGGTAGTAAAATTGTGTGACTTTCAATTGAGAAACTTTTTACGTAATTCGTGCGTGAATAGTCTAAAATTCAGATTGAACTATGCAGCCTTTGCACCCGCCTTTAGGTGAGGGCACATCAAGAGACAAGCAATCTCATCATTATCTCATCATCGAGCTCGCCTTCACGGCCAAAGTTCCTATATTTTTTGGACAAATGACCTTTTGGGTCCCCTGATCTTACTTCATTACATTCCGCTGATTCTATGAACCATATCTGCTCCCTCCACCCATTTCATTGTATTCATTTGTATGTACATTCATGGGACTATTAGATGTAAGAACATCATTCCAAGAAATGGGTGTTCTTACATCTAATAGTCCCATGAATGTACAAGAACTGCCTGACTGCATTTGCAGTTGAAGTTGACTCGTTCTCTTAAAGCTGAATCAGTTCAATCTGAATAATCAAGGCCACATTATAACTCCTGAACTAAGTTGATCCATTTATAAGCCAACACAAAGTGGACCACAGCTGCCTCTTGACGGTGCGAATTCGCGCGAATCCGGTATGGAGAATAAAGAATCTGGTAGACATCCCGCAATGACTGGACTTCCAGAACCAGAACGGGTATGGAGAATAAAGAATCTGGTAGACATCCCGCAATGACTGGACTTCCAGAACCAGAACGGCAACAGGCGACTGCCATCTCTAATGTTGTGTGCCTCGTGTAATATTGAGGATAGAACGTTTCAAACTGATCCGCGAACGAAGAAGTCAAAGCTTAATTCGTGAGCAGCTGCTACTACTTTTATCCCACAGGTCCTTCGTATGTGAACTGCTCAGACAAAATCTCAGCTTCTGGCTGGGATGAAATTCTTCAAAGTGAAATCATCGGAATGTGTCCGGAGGATCTTCCCTGCTGACTTTACGCTTATATGAAGTGCTGACAATCAGCCGCATTACTGCGCCCCATTAAAAAACGTGTCGACGACTTTTAAGGTCATTTTAAGGTCCTCAGATTGAAACATCTTGGAAGCATGCTAGTCGGGGAATAGTGGCCCTATAATCTGAAATATAGTGCCTGTACTGAAATCGCTAGATATGTGAGTCTTCCAACCAGTCCAAGGTCCAGTGCGACTGATACGGGACCGTTCAGCAAGCCGGTAATGGTGGCGACGAGACCAGTTGCGGCTGAGTTTAATTCGGGTATCAAACAGAAATCAGTTTAATTCAGGTATCAAACAGAAATCAGATATAATTATGCCTGAGTTATCACTTGTGGTGATGCTAATTGCAGCTGTCAGACAAATTTACCTCACAGAAATGGAGGTAAGAGCCCCGACCACAATGGTGGAGATGAGGTTCAGTGCGACTGATACGGTACCGTTCAGCAAGCCGGTAATGATGGCGACGAGACCAGTTGCGGCTGAGTTTAATTCGGGTATCAAACAGAAATCAGATATAATTATGCCTGAGTTATCACTTGTGGTGATGTTAATTGCAGCTGTCGACAAACCTCCCAATGAGAGCTTGAAAGATACTCACAGAAATGGAGGTAAGAGCCCCGACCACAGTGGTGAAGATGAGGTCCAGTGCGACTGATGCGGGACCGTTCAGCAAGCCGGTAATGGCTGTGTTGACTCCGAATTCCACCAACATTGATATCCGTGTCAACTCAGCCACAGTTGTGACTGAGTTGACACGGATGACAATGTTGGTGAAATTCGAAAGAGTGAGCACTTGTCCCACTTGCGATGTGACACCGAGCTCTGCCCAAGCAAGTCTACTTGGCCGTGGCGGCCTCAAAATCTTCCAGAATCTGGAAGATCACACTCTGGGCTACACGTGGTATCCGGGCTGGCCGGGCTGTACTTCATCCGCGGGGGATCCGGCGAGCCTGGCTCTCTGCCCGAAGGACGGTACGAGATCCCGCTGGTCATCCAGGACAAGCAGTTCTACCCCAAATGGGTCCATCAACTTCGCCGCTGTCGCCCGCGCACCCGCAGTGGTGCCCGGCTTATTTCGGCGACACAATTCTGGTGAACGGCAAAGCCTGGGCCGTGTACCTCTTCCGCATTCTGAAAGCGGCCAATGCTCGGTTTTCACTTGCACCAATTCCGAATTGACAGTATAAAATGACATGCAACTTCATCATTTTCGCACTGGTCGATGTGACGGGAGATCAGATGAGATGAGTATTCGCGTAACGAGAGAGAGGTTGTCCTTCTGGTTGTCTTCATTTTTCGTTCACATTCCCACATTGGTCGATGCGAGCCTCAAACACTAACCTCTGGCGACGAGGTTAGTGTTTGACTGACAAGTGCTGATGAGCTTCAAACGGGAGAAGGAAGAAGCCGCATTGAGGAAGGAGAGCGAGGAGGAAGCGACCTGATTCTTCCTACCTTCCCGACTCTTCTAATCAGACGTATTGGGGAAGGGTTAGGAGCATAAGGAACACTGTCAACACCACCAAGCTCATCCTGCCGCTGAAGTCATTCATGTGCCCTCTGACGAAGGAGCCAATGGTGGATCCGGTCAGTCTAGTAACAGGCTCATGCTTCGAGCGGGCATCGATAACAGCGTGGTTCGCAGAAGGAAACACGATCGATATGAGAACCAAACTCATATCGAAATGGGGTGTGGAGAAAGGTTATTTTTGGGTTGAATTTCTTTTCCAATTTCGAATTTTGAATCTCGAAGAAGAAGTGAGATTGAAAATTCAAATTCAAAATTCAAAACTTTCAAGCTCCAGTTTTCGCAGTAGATACCCATTGAGTTTCAATTCCTTGATAAAATAGTCGATTATCTGACGTGAAGAATCTCGGCTTGCTTACACTGGAAAGAACCTGTCTGTAAGACAATATCGGATTTTCTTGGCAGGCTATTGCTGGGTTGGCTGCCGACGGCAGGCAAATTGTTACTTGTGCAAGAGCAGAAGCTGGAAATTACTTGGGGTTTGTTCCTTTACTGTCTTTGTTGTTTACTGTCACAGCTAAACACTGTCTAACGCTAATTACAGTTTCTTGACCACTTGATTGCTTTTATATAGCCGCACAAAATTCTTCCGGGTGTCGATGTAGTACGCCCGTTTCTATCTGTAGGTGTACTTGTGAATTCTGAACTTCGGTTTTTGCAGCTTTTACGGTGAAGAACTCCCCACCAAAGAGCTTTGCGACAGAGTCGCTTACTACGTGCATCTATGCACCCTTTACTGGTGGCTCCGGTCAGTATATTTGCGTTTGCTCCTAAGGAGCGCAGCTAGGAAGCACCTTTTTTGTTTCTTGCGGTTCCTGTTCGTTTCGCAAGCATGAGCAAACGCATTTTAATTTCTCTGAAATCTCAACTTTGCTCTGAGGCAATAACACCCCCGATGACGTGTTGCACGGTTCAGTTCTAAGAGTGCTTCGTTTGTTCAGGCCATATGGTTCGGCCGCCATACTAGGTGGTTATGATCGGGATGGTCCTCAGTTGTACATGATTGAGCCCTCAGGTGTTGCTTATGTGAGTCTCATACACTTGTGAATGCTGTTTCTATAATCTTTTACGAATGTCTTATCTTTCGTGTCATCGTGAGATTTGATAAGATATTTCATTATTTGCCACAAACCGGAAATGCTCATTTGCGTTTTCTGAACGTATCTGTTCACCCTCTCTGCATGCAGCGGTACTTTGGTGCTGCAGTAGGAAAAGGGAGTGCCAAAACGTGAGTATCTCACGTCTTCATATATGCAACTAAGTATATTTCAATTGCAAATAGAGTTGTTCTCTCGATGGTGTCTGGGTTACTTGAAAAGCTGTTTATTGTTTAGCAGACACCTCTGATGTACGATGCATTGGAAATTTGCATATGAAGACTTAGTTTTCTATAATCCATGTTAGTGAATAATGCCTCCGTAAATATGTCCTGCAGAGAGATTGAAAAGCTAAAGTTGTCCCAAATGACATGTCGAGAGGGTGTCATTGCTGTTGCAAAGATGTAAGTACACTGCCCAAGACGTGGATTGCATTGCCTTTGCTTTAGCTTTGTACTCTCTTGGTGAGACATCAGATGTCAGTGAGTATTAATAGGGTTGTGGTTACTCGCTGTATAACCCACTCTAGAGGAGACCAATATTTGAAGAATGTTGTACTTTTTCTATCTTCGTGTCTTATGTCGGTGATTGCCACCAGGTAGTATCCAATTTCTCTGTAAAACCCTATTCACCCTTGTGCGAGGCGAGAGAAATAAAGAATAAGCTTATTTTCTTGCAGTATTTACAATGTACACGATGAAGCTAAGGACAAAGCTTTTGAGCTAGAAATGAGCTGGATCTGCGATGAATCAAAGCGTGAGCACCAACGGGTATGTGAATCTACTCCAGTCGAACCTAGAGGATATGAGCGCAAAAAATCAGTCTGCTGATAGGACTGACTTACTAGATAGACTTGATAAACGGAGTCCTGAATGTAACCAGACGACAGTGTTATGGATTTATAGTTTGCATGTTAAATATCCTCCTTTTATAATCGATGTTCTCTGCTGCAGGTCCCTGCTGATCTTCTTGCGGAAGCCAAATGGGGAATGTGGGTGGTGTTGAGAAGAAGGATATTTCGCGGCTCCTGATTCAGATCAGAGGGAAATATGGTCCTGACGACCAGTGGCTAGCTAATTACGTCTGGGGTCTGCACTCTGATTCGAAATAAGATGGTGGCATCCAATTGTGAGTTACTCTTAGTTTGTGTGCTGACTGAATCGAATGCATAGCAAGTGGTAGGATTATGTCGACATGGTGACCCGAGCATTCCAAAGATATGACGCTTACCTTCCCATAGGTAGAAGCTGCTCTCAGAGGGTGCCGTTTCTTATGTACCATTTCGTTGACATCCTTATCCTCGGCATTTTCAGGAGTTGCCATCACTGCCCTCCTCTGTGGAGTTGTCCAACACAAGATGTAACTGTATCAGAGGCCACGTTCTCATTATTAATGCATTTTGTATAGCAAACTAGGAATTAAATGTAAGTTTTAATCTCACCAGTACAAAGCGATTGTCCAGATGTAGATGTAGATGTATATGTAGATGCCTGACGCAGTTGCTCAGTTCTGTTGCAATATCGAAGTTTCCTCATAGAGTGAATATGTAATTCGTAATTCTTAATATGTAATGAACTTAATTCTGGTGTTCATTTCGGGTCTGTATGATTGGGTCGTTTTTCTCCTCCCTAATTTTTCTACTTTGCCGGATACCGAGTCGAGATAGGAGGTGCCACAGCATTACGATCTTCGGATTTATTGTAATTGGAATGGCATCAGGGACAGTGGGATAGTTCAGATATCTGAGAGATGCGTCAGGAGATGACCCTGGCATATGTTCTACTGAGTTAACACTTGAGAGTGTGCAGTCGGCATCGTTGTGCCTGCAGTTTCAGCCGTACCTCGAGCTCAGCGTCAGATGCACAATAAAGAAAAATTATACAAAAACGAAAGGAAGGAGTAGGTGGAGATTGGTCATTGATCACAGCCACAATCAGATCGTGTTCACGGGTGCTCATACTGTGACGTTGATCCATACGTACTGAACGACTTGTTTTCTGAAACGAGTTCCGTGTAGGGAAAATTTTACCATCCAGAGCTGATATGTGGAGCCAGTAAACGGAGCTGATGCCCTATACACTAGCTCATGTTGGGCGGACTGAGCGAGACTTAGACTCTCATCAGCCGGTGTCTTGGGGTTGTGAGGCCCACCAGGAATGCCCTCCCACCCTTGCATCTGTGAACTCACGTCGCCGGGAACCCTACCGAATCGTAGGCGCTGATGCAGCGAAAGACTGAACAAGACGTAATTTCTCATACCTTAAGATACAATCGTAGTAATTCAATTATTGGCCAGAACGATGCGGACAGTGAGGCTTCGCCCATGACGTACGCGCCAAATCCATTTACTAACCAAGAATAAGTGGTGAGTGAACTGTGGATATATTATCGAGTGCCCCGTCGTTGTCAGTAGCACGGTTGACGTCTCGATGTTTCGATTCATACACCTTAAGTTAAGCCTAGTTTTGAAGTGGATGGATGATTCATCATGTGCATGCCCTGCAAAAGATCTATTTCTTGTTCTTCGCTTCCAGAAAACCTAGTGTCTGATAGGGAGGCACTTTCAAGCTACATTGGGGAGCAACCAACACGTTCTAATTTCAGTTCAATCAAACAAACGATCGTGAATAATTGTGTCCGGTTAACGAGAGTAGGTTCGCGCTCAACAGAGTCCTGCATTGGGTTTTCAAAACTCTACACATACCCATGGATGTGTCAACTGTATCCACCTGTGGTGACTTTTCCATACCCTTATCCATCCATGACACCTTGTCCATATATTCAACTCATAACCCCACCACCTTTTGGTTACACTTACTCCGAAGGCTAAGTGTAAGTCATATCCATCCATTATCCACCTATATATCGTAGCCCCACACATTTACCCATGGGTATGGGTGGGTATTGGGTACCCATTGCAGTACTCTGGTGCTCAAGTGATGGTGACAAGAACCCGTCTGGCACACTGAGAGGTCACTATTGAATGGAAGCGCCGCAGCTTGTGAAACACCAATGGGCCTTGTCTTCTCGTGTCAGTTTGAATGTATGTGATAAACGCCACATCACCAAATGGGATTGCATATATCTATGGTGCATACTCTTGGAGAATATAATGTGGATAGGCACAAGACCATTCGTCTGGAGAATTGAAAGGAGGACCGCCTGGGGGTGTCCTCTCAGATAATGAGGGGCACTCAGTCAAGCAGTGTTTTAATATAACGCTGTACTTGGGGCCCGATGTCTACTCCGCTTGGCATCACAAAGCTCCGAACCCAAACATGCCCACGAATCGATCCGTATGAAGGTCAAGTTCCATCGAATCCAGTACACCTAGCAGCGCAGTTTGACAGTACGAGTACTCTTGGAAGCTTACAGATTGCGCAGAATGTGGAGTTTCTAGTGAGGCTGAGATGTAGAGTCTCCCAAACCGAGTCATTACCACATCAGTCGAATCCCAGTCTGATAGATTATGTCGAGAATCGACGCAATCAGTTGGAACATGCATATTCGAAATCTGGCATGTCGGTTCTTGGTCTCGCCCAATCCGGTCAGCCAGCAATCGGATATTGGAACCATAGGCAGGAAGAAATCTTCCTCGCAGGTTTGACTGGAATACTGTGATCACAAAAGTGCAAGTATTTAATGGTTACACTTGCACATCTGAATAATGTAGATGAGCATTAGAATGTCATCGACTTCCCGGGTCGTCCACATCGGGCTCATTGACTTCAACAGCCCTGCTTTATGGCGTCTGCTCCGTCGCTGTAGAATATCTACACATACCACCGAATGTTGACCGAATCCTTTTCGAAAGCCAGTGCTGGAGGAGCTCGTGTGGAAGTTCCCACAAAGTTGATCCTGTCCGGACGAGTCTTTTCTATATCCGTATGCACTGCATGGTACCTGCTGCTGGGAGGTTCTCACGGGATCACCGTGTAGCCAAGTTCCAATCGCTCTCTCATAAGATCTGAACACAGAAGAGATGGACGTCGGACCATGTAGAGCCTGGAGGGCATCCTTCCACATCAAGCAACAGCTCAGCTCAAAGCAAGGTAGAACTTATGAGACAGCTTGGTGATTCAATCAGATGGGATATTACCAAGTCTTGAAGCTCAGGAAAGGTTCTGCAATTGCACATAAATAAACCTCTCCTTTCCACAAACAACCAAGCAGCTGTCTGCCGCCAGTAGCTTCCAGTGATGTGATCTGAGCGTCCTACATTGGGGCATGGCAGTCAGTGTGAGTCGCCATTCCAGTTGAAAATTGTGAGGTGGCCACGGGATTTTTGCAGAACCTTTCCTGTGCACTCCCTATCATACAGAGCAGCTGAATTGCGATCGTGCCAGATGAGATCTGATGCTCACCAACAACGGCATCCCTGACTGCCTGCTCTACCCACGGAGGCGCGAAGAGTCTGCAGTCATTGGTCCGGGGCACGGGCACGTAAACACCGAGACCTGGATCAGATTAAAGTTCTTACAGCCCATTCTGGGTCACATCGTTGCAGAGAACTGCTGCTCGTGTACGCTTATAGTGAGACTGCAAGGCCTTGAGCTCTGCTTGTCGGTGGTGGCGGTGCACATATGCTCGATTCGCACTTTCGTGATCATGCTTCGGGCTTCTGTTTAATCAGATGTTCGGATCCGGGAGTAGAAATGAGAAAAAAATGAAGTTGTAAGAAGCTGGTGCACGGATTGAGGCAATAAAGATCTCGAAAATCGAGAACCGGTGCATGTCATGTGCGGAGAAATCGACATTAAAGTCAGAGCTATGGTGGCTGACGAGAACACGAAGGCAGCCAGCCAGCTAACAGAAGAGTGGCTTCACGAATTCCCAAATCACAGCTTCTACCGAACATCCTCTGGAGATGACCTCATCATTCTCATAACGAGAACGGTCACACACACACGGGGTCATTCCTCCATCTCGCTGCCTTGTTGCAGTGCAGAAATGGCATGGTACAGACGAAGCTCATACGTGCGAGGTCTGAGCATCGTGTACACGTCTATGAGTATTAAAAGTCGTGAAGATCAGAGACGAGTGAGTAAGAAAGCAAGCCATACACGGCAGCCATCGGAGCTTCCAATGCGAATTGGAGCGATGTACAGATCCCCGCTGAGCTGCGACTTGAGAAGTCTGATGTGGAAACTAAGAGGCTCAGCCGATTTTGGAGGTGCTCAGATATGGAGTAGACTTTGACAGAATCCGAGCATAAAATTCATGGAGTAGACTGTGAGCGAAGGATATGGAGTAGACTTTGAGCGAATCCAGCGCCTCTCTCTGCAGCAGTCTTGCTTGGTTCTTATCCGAAGGCCCTTCACTCACTGATGACAAGCTCGATAGACCGTCTGCTGATTCCACTTTCTTACTCTCAAGGAAATTTAGATAGTTTGCCGGTTCTCCGATCGCTTTGTTTGAGAGCAGCAGCTGTCGACGCAATCCTTCTTTTAGAGATTTGACAGAGGTGCCTTGAATACCAAGCGAGGCTGGTGAGCTCCTTAAGAAGAAGAAGAAGAAGAAGAAGACGGCTAACTGACGTGAGAGCTCGAGCAGCTCAGGTGTCATACTGACATTGGTCGGAAAATATCATGATTGCTTCGGCAGCTGGTCCAAACCCCGACAACTTTACCATTCAAGCTGTCATTCGCTGTGCTGTACCTCCTGGCGAGAAGAAAACTTGCGGAGGTTGAGCCTCAGGGTTCCTAATACGGATGTCTGGATTCTGGGAAATTCAGTCCATTCACGTCTGTACATGGCGTGAATTTGAAATACAGGTGCACGTGGTCGGTTCAGAGAGCTTTCAAATCCCCCATTTTGGACATGATATAACCAGGCACTCGGAATTTTGTTAAGTATCCAAGCCACTAGAAACAAGTTCATCGCAGAAACGTAAGATATGGATTGCTTGGACGGTACGTCAGACTTCGGACATGGCAGCTTCTATCACGGCTTCTCTGTTATCATTTGAAACCAGATCTGCGGGCAAATGGATGAAAATGGTTCTTGTCCAGCATCACATGTCTCTTGCGCTGGGCACTTTGGCTTTGTTTCAGCAGCTTGAGAAATAACATGTAATCCTCCCGATTTCGCCCAACTCGTTTCTGACGATGAATGCATGTGAGAGCTCGTGGTGTCCAGGACTAGCAGCCAAAACAGATGGAGTACTCTCGAGGTGGGGTGAGGCTAGCGGCGCAGTGCGGAGAGAGATGTGCACCATACACAACCTTGTTGCGTTGTAAATGGCTCAGTAAGTTAAAATACCTGATGTCAAGTACTGACGGCTGCTGATCGAAGAGTTACTTTTGCTGATAAGCAAAACTAACATTGGCGTTAATGGACACAGCTCACATCCCATAGACTATGACACTTTCCTGCCCTCCAGACCTTATTGCAAGAACCCTGGTCTTCGTAAGCAGGCCGGGCGACCTTGCCTTCCGACTTCCCGATTTGGCATCCCATTCAGCCGAAACTTCTTGTGGCTCTGAGTGGCAAGTTGTCCACTGCAAGAACTTCACAATCCAAAATGCACAAGAAATGGCGCACGATGACATCACGCCGTTCTCTCAACTTGCTGTATAAGATTCGACGAGGACTCTGCAAAGTATGACAGGTAGGAATGG